GTTCTTTATCTTAAAATGGGGATAATAATCGTTCTACTTGATTGAGATGTAGTGAGGATTAAATGAGTTACTTTATTTAAAGCACTTAGAATAGTGTCTTTTATATGATAAGCACCTTATAAGTGCTTTCTGTTTTATATTTGTAGTTTGAGAGAGGCAACTCCTCTTTATAAAGTTATTTTTTAATTCAGGGAAATATAGTCCTAGTTTGTATCTATTTTTTGGCAACATTTTTCTGATGAGTTTCCTTTTTGAGCTGCCTTATGTTTTCCAATCTAACAGCTGGGTCTTTGGAAACATACATACATACAAGTATATGTTGCAAAATTCTATACAAACACATTTGAAAGAATCTACAACACAAAGACTTATCTGTAAAAATGTATCTTATCCAAATGAGGGTAAATAGAGAGGAAAATTCAAATACAGGAATAATCATAGAAGTAATTAAGAAAATCAGGCTTCAAATGATTTCACAGGTAAACATTTTTAAACCTTCAGAGAACAGGTTATTCCATTATTATACCTTTTTAATAACATAGAGAAGAAAGTCCTCATGTTTTTTCATAATTTCAATAGGGCAAGTATTACTTAGCTATCTAAACCTAAAAATAACACACACTCTCACTCACACACATATACATAAGCATACTGATCACAGTGGCAACTGCATGTGCCACCACCACTGCCACACAACTTTTAAAACTACATAATAATTTTAAATATAGAATTACTCATACATTAAAATAATAATGTAGCACCAGAAAATGGGGTCTATCCCAGGAATGCAACGGTGCTTTAATATGAGAAGTTATGCTAACACAATTCACCATATTAATCAGATAAAATCACTTTAATAGAGTTTCCAAAAAACATTTGATGGAACAACTTCTGTCCTGCCTAAAACCTACAGGAATAGTTAGATATTCCTGCCTGGTATATCTGTATGTGTGTGTGTATTTTAGATATATTTAATGATAGTTGTATATAACATATATGTATAAATATCAAAAATATATATACACACATATATATCCGTGTGTGGGGGTCTGTAGATCAAACGAAAGCCAAAAAACCATTATGTTTAATGGTAAACAATAGGTGACGTCCCAGTGACAAATAAAATATGCTTTCATCATTTCTGTAATTTTATGTTTACCTGGAATTATTACCTGATGCAACTGGACAAGAGAGATAAGAGAAAAAAATAAGTAAAAATGTTAGAAAGTTAACATTTAAAAGCATCATATGCAAGTAATGTGTCTGAATAATTGAAGAGCATCAATGGAAAATCTGTTAGAAACAAGAAAATATGATAATAGTGCTAGTTACAAATACACATGCATCCACACAGAAACATTATGTGTTTTTTTTTTTTTTTTTTTTTTGAGACAGAGTCTCACTTTCTTGCCTAGGCTAGAGTGAGTGCCGTGGCGTCAGCCTAGCTCACAGCAACCTCAAACTCCTGGGCTCAAGCGATCCTACTGCCTCAGCCTCCCGAGTTGCTGGGACTACAGGCACGAGCCACCATGCCCGGCTAATTTTTTCTATATATATATTAGTTGGCAAATTGATTTCTTTCTATTTTTATAGTAGAGACGGGGTCTAGCTCAGGCTGGTTTTGAACTCCTGACCTTGAGCAATCCTCCCACCTCGGCCTCCCAGAGTGCTGGGATTACAAGCGTGAGCCACCGCGCCCGGCCAGAAACATTATGTATAGATAAAATTGTAACAAAACACTTACAGATAAACTGAACAAGAAATAGGTAAATTCTAAATTAAAGATACCTTAAACATGCATTAATTTATTAAATTATTAGAAAGATATATTCTTATCGTTCTTATATACTTAAAAAAGAAGATTGAACAGTAAGTATACAAGTTGTAAAAAAAGGCAATTCTCAATTCAATTTATGAATTTAATAAGACCTCAGCTAAAATAACCTCAAGAGTAGAAAAACAAACGTGAAAATTGTAAGTTTTATTTGGAATAATTAAATATAATACTGGCCATAAAAGCCCCTCAAGGAAAATAATGACGAGAGACTAACAAATAATTAAAATGCTAAATTAATTAATTAAAACTTTTTTTATACTGCAGAAGAAATAATTATATAGACTAGAATCTGGCATTCCAGAAATAGATCCAAGCATATCTATGTAATGTATGAGCAAGTCATCTCCAGCCGGTGACCAAAAAAGGATTCTCTCCCACCCTGACCCCACCAATTTATTCTGTGCTTGTCTATATTATGTTTTACTTTATTTAGTTTTTTTTCCTCTTACCCACTTTGCCATGTGTCATGGTCATTGCTTTTAAAAGTAATATTCTCTCTCACACTGATTTAAATTCCCTCAGTTAAAAAAAAAAAAACAGAACAAACAAAAAAACTGAGTGCATGTTTTATCTCATCACATCATTAAAATATTAATGTTTTCTACTGCACAGAGGCTGAGGCAGGCAGGAGAGAGCGCGCCGCACTAATTGGCAGCGAGGGAGGCAGCCTCACTACTACAAGATTCGGGATGACTGGGCAAATAGCTTAAACGGTCTGTGGCTTCCAATGCGTTTCCTCCTCAAAACTGTAACCTACACATCGTGGCTCTTATAGCACAAGGGCTTGGGAAGGAGAGACGCTGGCGTGCCGTGAAAACGAAAGCCACAGAATTACACACGTTGTTTTTCACTTCTAAAATTTCAAAGCTAATCATGTGAAAACCTTTCCTTCTCCTTAAAAATTATTTCTAGGAATAAGGGAACACTGACTCAGAAGAATCCCCCTTATTTTCATTTTGAGGATGCTTTTTTAGTCGTCACATTAACTTACTCATATGCGCATACCAAATTTTATATGAAATCTCATGATGTAATTTCATGTTAACTTATTCACTAATTATATAATAAAATTGCTGGAATAATTATCCAGCTCATATTTTATTAATGCTTAATTAAAGATATAGCTTAAGTAATTGTGGCACATTGCAGCACTAGTGAACCAGAAAGTTATAATAAACAATACAATGACAGAAAATTACTAGGTTGGGTACTTTTATAGATCTTTTAGCAGATTCATAAAGAGATTACATCATTTTTGGATTTTGGGGGGGGCTCTATATTAACCTTTCTAAATAGATTTCTGCCATGGGTATGGTATATTCATAAAAGTGGCTTCCATTGACAGCCTTAAAGCAGGTATCAACATGCCCCTTGGGTTTTTTCATAAATCCGATTTTTAGATCTGATGCCAATAGTGGTTTAGAAATAAATTGTGAGAAAGATTGACAAAAAGTCATAAATTGAATAACCACAAGGACTTAAGTTTAGTGGCCTCAGGTGGAATCGTGACTTATTGAATTATAACCTTAAGCAGAATTAAACGGTACCTACTTTTGTATTTTCCTGCCAGTCAAAAACGTGACTGTGTAGTTGACATTGCAGCCCAGAATGAAATGGTTGTCTTTGCTTGCAATGTTATTCTTTTCTTGTTTTAAAATCATTATTGGGCCCATGCACTGTGTGACAACAAAAAGTAAAATATTAAGCTGATTATGTAGACAATGGTGATGAAAGTTTATTATTCTAGGTTTATCCAGGTTGTTGCTTTATTTTTTTTTTTTAATTCTACTTGCATAAGCCAAGAGATTCTTTAGGAAAACAAATGAACCAATTAATGAGCAAAAAAGAAAAGCAAATATTTTAGCTAAAGAATTACAAATTAGGCCTGATTCTATAATTTTTCCTAAAGAAAACTATTATTTATAAAGTCATTGTCACTGACCTGGAATGTCAGAGCCTGGAATAGCTCTCTTCATCTGCAATTCAATATCTGAACTTCAGGAAGGACCAAATCCTACTTGCTTAATTACTCTCCTGAAGTGAGAGGCTGTCTCCCTCTGAAATCTAGGAATGAGGGATAAATTAACTCAGATGACAGGTAGCTCACACTGAGCTCCTGAGGATGTGTTCTACTCCATTCTATTTCAGCTGATGGGGCACAGGAAAGCATGTCCAGAAACAGGGAAAAGTCCCCAAATGAAAGATGTTTAGATAAGTAAGATACCTGTGTCTCACTCTGCGACTCCACACCCTTGTTTGGGTGAGGGAAAACTTCCCCTTTCCCCTGAATGTTCACTGAAAGATCAACTCACAATTAAGGCAGATTAATAAGAGGAAAAGGTTTATTTACCATGCACAAGGGGAGAATCATAGAGTGATTGTCCAACATCCCAGTGGAATCTACAGATTTTGAAATCCTCATTGTAGTGGGGGGGGGATGAGGAATATAAGTAATTCTGTTTAGGGGCAGTAAATAGTTGCTAGGAAGGATGAATGGATACTTGGGAGAATGAATGGATGGTAGGAAACAGATCGACTTATAAATTAACCTGAGACACAGATATTATGTTTAAAATGATTTGGGCCAGGTCTGGTGCATTCTTGATTTTCTTTCCTGAAACAGAGTGAGATAACAGAGAAGGAAAGGGGGAAACTCACTGTTCTTTTGATGACTCCACCTGATTATGAAGATAGAGGGAAAGTCCTTTCCAAGGTGCTAGCTCACTGTCATTTCTTAGAATTGAGTAGTATTCCATTGTGAGCATATACCAAATTTTTTTTTATCCACTCATGAATTGACGGACACTTGGGTTGTTTCCATGATCTTGCAATAGTGAATTGTGCTGCCATAAACATTCGGGTGCAGATGTCTTTATAATAGAATGTCTTATGCTCTTTTGGGTAGATGCCCAACAATGCTATTGCTGGGTCGAATGGTATTTCTATATCTAGCTGTTTGAGGTATCTCCAAATTCTTTTCCACAGAGGTTGCACTAATTTGCAGTCCCACCAGCAGTGTAGGAGTGTTCCTGTCTCTCCGCATCCTCGCCAGCATTTGTTGTTTTGGGATTTCCTGATACAAGCCATTCTCACTAGTGTTAGATGGTATCTCATTGTGGTTTTGATTCAAAATACTCTTTATATGAAGCAGTCATATTTTGGGGTGCAATTTCCTGAGGCTCCTGATGCTTTACACTCTGTATTGAATTCTGCATGAGGTGTGACTGTGCCTAGAATGAATGACAAATGTTTCATGTTAGCAGGCATCGAACAAGCAGCAATGTAGCTGGCTCAGGATCCACACCATCATCTTTGAAAGGACTTCTTGGCAACTCTTTCACCTAATTAGCACAGTGCTTCACAGTTTTACTCGCAGCTGTAATGTTCACTGTAAACTTCCTTCATTATCTCTCTATCCCTCTGGTTTCCCCTCCCCTCCAAGGAGTAAATTATATTTACTGAAATACCTAGGATTCGGTAGAAAATGATATGTAGTCAAATATAGCCTTGCCACCCTCAGGAAGCAAGATTAGTCAGCGCTGAAAGCAGAAGACCAAATACAGATGGGCCAGAAAAATAAAAAGTTTGTTTGACACAGCAGTTCCCTCGAGTTATCTGGACCTTTCTACACATTTTTGAAAAGAGATGTGTCCCCAGGTTTATGGAGGTCACCAAGGCCTGAACCTAGAGAGGTCTTGTATTGCCTGGGTACTTCTAGAACTGGTCTGATCATCTAGAGATTCCTAAAGTAGGGGTCCCAGATCCCAGAAAAATGGGGTTGCATTTTGGTACTCATGAGTCTTATTTTTAATCAAAATTTTTATTAAGATTGTTGTAGATTTACATCAAATTGTAAGAAATTATACAGAGAAATCCCCTGCATCTTTATCAGGTTTTCCACAATGGTGACATTTTACAAAACTATAAAATAGTGTCACAACCAGGATATTGGACTTGGTCCAATCTATTGAGCTTATTCAGATTTTTTCCAGTTTAGCTTGTACTCATGTGTGTGTGTGTGTGTGTGTGGTGCAGTCCTACACAACTTTATCATATGTGTAGGTCCATGTATCTACCACCATCTTGAAGACACCGAGCAGTTCTGTCACCACAAGGACCCTTTTATACAACTGTGCCCACCTTCCACCACACTCCCTACTCCCAACTCCTGGCAATCTCTGATCTGTTCCACCATTTCTTAAATTATGTTGTTGCAAAATGTAATAAGTGGAATCATATAGTATGTAATTTTTTGAGATTGGCTTTTTTCCGCCACTCATCATAATTCACTGGAGATTCATCTACATTATTGTCCTGACTGCCAATTGCTAGAAGGGCTCCTGATGGCTCCTTGTCACGGGTGGTATAGACTTGCCCGGGGTTTCCCTGGGGCCGCTGGTGAGGCCCAGAGAAGAATGGGCCTAGCTGGGCTGCCTTCTGTCCTTGTGTTGAGGTCTGGGTGACCTTCTCTTAGCAGAGGGGAAATAACATGCCTGGACACTGTGGTGTTCTTCCAGGCTTGAGGTCCCGAACCAGTTTGCCTTCTCTCTCTTTTTTTTCTTGAGACAGAGTCTCACTCTGTTGCCCTGACTAGACTACTATTATGTCAGCCTAGCTCACAGCAACCTCAAATTCCTGGGCTTCAAGCCATCTTTCTGCCTCAGCCTCCCAAGTAGCTGGGACTACAGGCATGCGCCACTATGCTCAGCTAATTTTATATATATATATTTTAGTTGGCCAATTAATTTCTTTCTACTTTTAGTGGAGACAGGGTCTCACTCTTGCTCAGGCTGGTTTTGAACTCCTGACCTTGAGCGATCCACCTGCCTCGTACTCCCAGAGTGCTAGGATTACAGGCGTGAGCCACCATGCCCGGTCCAGTTGGCCTTCTCTTTATCTGCTTTCAGACATTTTCTCCGGTTGCCTGTTGCATTATTTCTAGGCTTTATAGTTGTGCTGAGCATGGAAGAGCAGGGAGATATGGGTCTATACCCGCTTGTCCAAAGCAGAAATCCTCATGGTGGTTTGTATTTTCCTATGTATCCATTTAACCCACTAAACTCCCTCCATAAACACACATTTTCCCTTTTCTTTATTATAAGACTTCACATACTTACCTTGTATATGTTTGTAGCTTTTGAAGGAAACTTTGATCCATCTTGGTTCACTCATCAGCCTGTATTAGAGCTCGAATACATGGCTTAGGATTCTCTCAGCTGTACATATAGAATACCCCATTAAAATGAACTTAAACAATGAGAAAAATATAAGATGAATAGAAGGATAGGGGGTTCTGGATTTGTCTGATTCAGTGGCTCCATCTCAGTATCTCAGACATTCTTTTGGCTTTTGTTCATGGTGGCAGATGACGATCGCAGCCTCAAGCACTATGTCATCTACAACAACTTCCGAAGTCACAGAGGTACAGGTCCCTGTCTCTTGCCCTCTATGGTACACTTTCCTTGAAGCCTCTCAATAAATTGTCCTTTATGTTTCATTGGCCAGGACTGTCACATGCAAGCTTGCCGCCAGTGAAAAATTACTTTAATTGTTTGGAGCAATTTATATTTGCTTAATGTGTGGTTTGAGAAGTACCCCATAAAGCCCACAGGTATCTAATTTCTAAAAAATATTATAGTTTCATATGGAAGAAAGTGGGTGGTGAGTGGCTGTGGTTAAGCCATATTACACAAGGTTACTGTGTTGCTTGCCTTATTTCAATCAAAAAAAACACAGTCAGGTCTGTGAAATATTAACTGATAGAGATAGGACAGAAGTTAGGATAAAGCAGGAGTTTTGGTCCCTAAGCTGCAAAATTCTTTTTATGTGAAGAGAGCTGGGTTTTAGGGCTGATGGCCAATGTCTCAAATCAAGTTTTCAGTCACAATTAATAGTTGAATTACCAGGGCTGTAGAATAGCCAGGGAAAGTGGAAACAATGACCTAGTGGTCAAACAGGAAATGAGATTTCATCCAAGCTATAGTAGGCCACAGGTGGTTAGGAGAGGCTGTTCAGAGATTGCTTTAGTCTAAAATAGATTGGTTTGAAAACTGGACATATCTGAGTCTCTAGACAGAGGGCATCAGTGATGCTTATGGGAAGGAAAAAGTAAGGGGTCCCACTGAAAAATCTTGTAAGCAAGGACTACTTGCTGTCTCAAATTTAGGAAACTCAGCAATGCACATTTTAATTCTGGAAGATGCATGTCAATCAGAAATGTTTCAGGTCTTTATTTTAATTTGGACACTGAGACAATTGAATGGCAGAGAATTATTGAAAACTGGGATCATTTAGTAAAGCACTGCTAGATAATATTTAGAAAATAATACAGGATCTGGATTAGGCTGCTGACCCTAAGATGAAAAATAAAGTTAATTGGTTGAGTTATTAAACAAATATTATCAATGCTTGAATAATTAAAAAAAATAGTATGTTCCAGATTCTAGTCTAGGTACTGATGGGTCAAGTTTGTATTCCTGAGAGAGCATACATTTGATGGAAATTTTACTAGTTAGATGTTAGGTTCTAATCTAACCTAAGGGTGCGAAGATGAATAAGATAGGTTCTCTAACCTTGAGCAGCTTAGTCTATTCTATGTGGCAAAATAGGAGAGACTCTGAACCTGTCTTGCTTGTAATTGGATTCCAAGGAATCAGCAGAGAACCTAGCACATAACTGATGCACAAAATCTTTTTGTGCATACATGAATATGTAAACAACTCCCTCCTATATTGCATGATAATGCAATACTGAAAGTATGAAGGGAATTTTAGGGTAGTGAGGATATATGGAAGGTTAATTACACTCTCTGGGGAAATGCAGAGAAGGTAAAGGAAAGCCTCAGAGGAAATAATGTTTGAACTGAACCTTGAAGGATGAGCAGAATTTTGCTAAGTGGAGAAACAGAATGAACAAAGGTGTGAACTTACATTGAAATTTTGGGAAATTGTGAGAAACATGCATGTAACGGGAACTTACTGTAATGAGTGAGTGGAGCTGTCTTTGGAAAGGTAGGATGGAGTCACTTTGGGGAGACCTGAATATATTGTTTTAAGGAGTTTATACTTTACCCTGTAGGTAATGGGGACATATCAACTGCATTTCAGTATGTGAACTGTGATCAGATGTGACTCTTGGGAAGGACACTCTGGCGGTCACATGGAGCATGGTTTGGAGACGACCATAAGCCTGGAATTCAAGTCAATACAGGCATTTGCAGTAATCCAAATGAAAAATATGAGAGCCAGGATTAGGGCATGGACATTGAGAATGCAAGGCATTTTATAGGCATTGAGAGATATTTAGGAGCAGAATTAATGAGACTTGATGATGGATTGGATATTCATGGTGACAGAAAAGATAGAGAATCAATTTTTACTCTAGTTTCTAGTTTGGGGAATTGAGTGCATGGTATCGTGGTTGGCTAATCAGGGGAAAGTGGTCTTGGGGAGAAGATTGACATAAGCTCTCTTTCACTGGAAATACTGTGGCACAGACAGAAAACTCATTAACAATAATGCACAAACATTAATATAAACATATATATACATATATAATACACATATTATATATAATATATAAACATTAATAATGCATTAATCCCTGGGGTAGTTATTTTTTAAAATAAACTTATTGAAGGGTAGCATTCACAAGTCAAAAGGTCTCAGTGCAGTGAACTCATACAAAGTGACACACTTGTGTAAATCATAGCCAGGTTAAGGAATAGAATTTGATTAGCACCTGCAAATTAATAAATCTGTTTTTATGATAGTCTGGTAATCTGCATACTTATCAGTCCCCAAACAAAAGGGGTACAATCTTAACAAAAACCCCAACAAAATAAAACACAAGAAAAACCGCTGAGGCTGTTTGTTACTTCATCATTCTATCAATGAAATAGCTAGACTTTTTTCTCCTTTAATATTTGAGAGCTATATTTGACCTGTTTTGACTTGAAATGTAGGCTCTATGGTACACACCCTGGGTGGCAACTCAAAGAGGTAGATAGTTAATACCCAGAGTAGCAAAATCTAAGGTACAATCAGAAGCTCCATGACTACTGGTAGGAAAGTACACCAGACATATTAAGGAGCTCAGTTCAGAGAGAACATGTGGGGTTCTCAAACAAATTAAATAGTGCTTTTTAAATAAATTGACAGTCATTAGGGCAAAGCTCTGACTTATAGGCATTGATTTTCTGCTTCTTACTCAGGCAATAACTATAGCTAATATTTATTGGACACTTACTATGGGCTGAGACTGTTTTTATGTCCTTTATAGGTATTAAATAATTTAAACCTTACTATTTTTATCATCATATGATGCACCTGAAACAAAGAGCTCTTGTGTAATTTGCCTGAAGTCACAGCTAGGAAGTTGTAGAGTTGGGCTTCGAATGTGGGCTCTGGGCTACCGAACCAGTGCTTGATGTGTCCTACATTTATGCTAGACTCTATGGAGTAAGCCACAGGATGAGAAGCGGTGGCAATTTATATAATTAGTGATGCATACTAATGCTTCCAAGCAATTGCTAATTCCTATGGCATACGTGGAAAAGGTTCTGATGGAATAATTTAATCAAGAAGCAATAGAATGATATATAAATATATTTAACCTCTATCAATTTATATTTTATATTAATTTACTGAACACTTAACTACAAATCAGACAATGTGCTTGCACAGAATTCTGATTTTTAGAAGGCTTAGAAAAGCAAGCATATCAGCAAATTATTACAATATAATGAGGGATCTTACAGTAAGGTGGATGGCAGCAGCTTGGAACAGGAAGTGTTGCTTCCTGCCTGGAAGTCCAGCAGCTCTCTATTGAGAAAACATTTGAATTGACTCTTGAAGGATAATCTGATATATTTGCGAGACAAGATAGGAGAAGACTTTCTTTCAGATATCACCGGCATGAAAAGGTCTGGCTGGAAGGGCAAAAGAAAAGGCTGACAGCTGGAAAGGCAGACAAAAGCCAGATGAGACAGGTTTTGTAAACAAGGCTAACCCTTGATTTTACCTTGTCCAGTGGTAACTTCTAAATTTTTCTGACCCTGACTGACAGTCAGAAATTCTAAACAAACTGTTATTAAACCTTTGTTTAATTGTAATTAAAGTTTCCTGAAACAATACTTTCCTATTAATGAAGTCTTGCCTTTTGTTTTTCTTCTTACTTTCTTTTCTTTCTCTTTTTCCATTTTCTAGTCTTTTCTATATTTCGCTGAAAAACATCTAGCTTGAAATCTGCTAAATTGATTTAATGACCAAGCAAGAGAGCACTTCCTGAGAATATTTGAAATGACCTATCATATTTTCATTTAGAAAAATCACTCAACTTCAAAAAAAGAATTAAAGCAAGATGATCCTGGTGGATAGACTTGGGTACAAATTCCAGTTAGAATTGGAATTACCCAATTGGAATTACTCAAAAAACTTAGGAAAGAAAGAATGAGGGCTTTTTATTAAAGAATTGGACTAAAAACAAAGAATTGCTGCTATGTTTATGACAATAGAAATAGCCTAAGACTCAGAGATAGTTTAGGTATGGAGTTTGAAAGAGGAATCAGGCATGGAAAAGTTTATAATCTATATATTTAAATATTAGATTTCTAAAAATTTAAATTCCTTTTTAGCTTCAGAGTATTGCTTTCTGAAAAATATGAAGACGGCCTATCCTTTACATGTCAAATTTTCTTCTTTCTAGGTTCCTGATTAAATCATCCCATTCAAAGGAAGGTTCTTTTCTCTTTTTATGACCTAATAGCAGGCTTTTAATTTTTCTTTAAGAACTTAAAAAGAATTTCTATCTAGTAGGCTATATAAAAAAAATCCCATTAGGGAATTATTTAAAAAGAAGAAAATGTTTGACCCCTATAAAATTTTACATGGAAAGAAACAGAAGAAGAAAAAAGTCTTTGGCTTTAATACACTCCAAAGTTGAAAAAAAGTTGAAAAAATGTTCAGATGATTTAGGGAAGAAATGGTTTTTCTCTTTAATGAGGATATATTATTGTTTAGAAGCAGTTATAGTTGGGCTGTTTTGCAATGGTGTGATGAATCAAATGGGTAAATCCCCCCAAAATTAGCTTGTGTGGCATTGTGGGTCCTCGCAAGATTTATGATGCTTCAAACCAACAAGACAGCTCCTTTAAAGGAGAATAAAAAGTATCAAATAAAGTCTTTTCCTTCAGTGTTTTTTTTTTATTTCATTATCCCTTATGTCATTCCATCTTAATTGCCTTTTTTAAAAAAATAGAGGTAAAATTCCCACAATTAATATTTATAATTTAACCATCTTAAAGTGTAAAATTCAGTGGTTTTTGATATATTGATGACATTGTGCAACCATCACCACTAATCCCAGAATATTTTCATCACCCTAAAAAGAAACCTCATTCCAGTTAAGCAGTCACGCCACATTTCCTCTTTCTTCCAATCCTGGCAACCAGTAATCTACTCTCTGTCTGCATGGATTTGTATCTTGTTGGACATTTCATATACATTGAATCATGCTATATGTGGCTTTTTGTGTTAGCTTTTTTCACTTAGTGTGTTCAAAGTTCATCCATGTTGTAGCATGTATCAGTGCTTCATTTCTTTTTATGTCTGAATAATATTCCCTTTTACTGACAAACTACATTTTTGTTCATCCATCTATTATAGGACACTTGGATAGTTTCCACTTTTTGACTATTATGAATAAGGTGCTGTGAACATTCCTGTTTGGATATGCTTTTAATTCTCTTGGGTATACATCTAGGAGTAGAATTGCTAGAATCAAATGGAAATTCTGTAACTTTTTGATGAACTTTCCAAACTCTTTTCTACATTGCTTGTACCATTTTACATCCCCACTAGCTATAGATGAGGTTTTCCAATTTCTTTGTATTTTTGTCAACACTTATTTCCAAAAAGTTATAGACATTGTAGTTTATTATTTCTAACCCTGTATTGACATTTCAGTCTTCTATACCTTGATCTCACTTTTCTCTATTCCCCATCTTGCCATTCTTATGAGTTTATTTGTATTAGAAGCTACTTTAACCTTTCCTTTTATTATCAGGGAAAATCATCACAATCTTTTCCTACTATTTTTTCATATGTCAATAGGAAATAACTTGTATATTAATTATCTATTGCTGTGTTTCAAGTTACTCCCAAACTTAGCAGCTTAAAGCTACAAACACTTGTTATCTACAGTTTCTATGGGTCAGAAACTCATACAAGCTTAGGTGAGCCCTCTAGCTGACAGTCTTTCTAAAGACTAATCAAGGTGTGGGCCAGAGCTTTGGTCTTTACTCAGGCTTTGTTGGGGAAGGATGCTGCCAAGCTAGCTCACTTGGTTGTTAGCAGGACTCAGTTTCTCACAATTGTTGGACTGAGGGCCTCAGTTTCTCACTGGTTGTTGCCAGAGGTTCCCTCAGTTCCTTCCCATGTGGGCCTTTTCATAGAGCAGGTCACAAGATGGCAGCTGCTTCATTAGAGTGGACAAGAGAAGGAAAAAAAGACCACACGTGATGGAGGCTACAGTCTCTTTATGACCTCATCTCAGAAGTAACACAAGGAGAGGGGATTGGATTATACGAGGTCATGAACACCAGGAAGTGGAGAATCACTGGAGGTCATCTCAGAGGCTGCCCACCACAGCCTTTTTAGGGAAATGGGCAAAGACTTTTGGGATAAACATATTCTCTCATATTTTTACAAATGTAAGCACTTTGATACAAACATTTTTGGTGTTTATTTAAATATCATTAAGATATTTCTTAAAATGAACAATATTTTTAAGGTTGTTATTTACTTGGCAATGCAGAAAAATTTGGCACAAATGGAAAAATAAATTTGGAGTGAATCAGAACACCGGAGTGCTACCTGAAGCCCTAATATTAACAAAAATTCACGATCTGCTTCAAAGCCCGTAAATTTTTTGTTCTGAGTCTCATTATCTGCAAAATCAAAGGGTACTTTTTATCAGGAGCTTTCAAGCCTTTCTGACTGTAACTCACAATACAAAATTCATTTTACATGGGGACCAGCCTGCTACACACATATATGGAAACAGTCACGGTAACTGAAACAAAGTTTCAAAAACAATATTTACTCTTACAGAATACAACACTTTCTGGTATTTTTCTTGACATTCTATTTTATTGAAATACTTTATTTTATGTCATAATAAAAATATCAGTTGACTGAGCTAAATTTTTTCATTACCTTCTAGTGGATTCCAAATCTCAGTTTGAAAGCATTGTGATTTCCACAGCTACTTCCACAACTGCAAAAGTAATCTAGGGTTATTGCCTATATCTGTGAAGACAGTAAAAAAGAGAAAAGTATATATTTCTCCTTTTCCTTGACCACCAAGTCAGCTAGTTAAGAGTATATTAGCAAGCTATCTGTCTCTCTGCTATTACCAACATGTATGTATATCACGTTAGTAAAGAGATCATGGTTAGCTATTTCAGAAAGCTAATGACTATATGGGACAAATAGCCCTGGGCATTGCCTCAAGCTATCCACTCTCTGGAAAGTTCTTAATCCCCCCCTCGCCCCCCCCCCAAATGACCTTTCTTTCTTAGTCTACTGAGTTCAAGGGGTTATTGATTCTGTCACATATATGTTGTGCTTTGTTCTCTGTTGCATTGTCATTTATTCTCACATCCCTGTGGATATATCATAGTTGGTGTGATGTGCAATGCTGAGTTCATCAGGAATATCCACTAAAAAGGAATTTTACCTAGAGGAGGCCATACATACATTGCTTCTAAAATTTTTCACCCAAATATTCCTAATGTAAGAGCAACTCTGTGGCAACTCACTGGATGAGTCAACTCTCTTTGAAGTTTTCTGTTTTAGCTTAGATATTCATGCAAATTTTGAACTCTATGATATATGCTTGTTTTAATAGCTAATCAATGTTTTACATTATTTATGAGTCAAATTACTTTAACTTCCCTCACTCTCCAATCTTAGAATAAAATTTATGTTCCAGGAGGCTGCACGATAATTTTCCACGGCTGAAAACAAAATACTCAGAGGAATTTTGAGAAGCATGAAACATGTTTATTTAATACAAAACTCATAGTCACCCAATGAAATAGGTTTTATTGTCTGGACTTAGCAGATGAGAAATAAGAATCTTCAGAAATTTGTTAATATATAGTTGATAAATAACACTATTAGAACTTAAAACTACGTCTGTCTTCACAGCCATTGTTTGCTTTACCATGTCATAATGCCTTCAAGCCTTTATGAAATGAGGAAGAATCCAGATAATTCTGAAGTATTCACTACAGATATTTCAAGCATTCTGTATATTTCCAGTCTAAGTACTTTAAATCCTGGAAGAGATGATGTGGTAAACATGGGAATTAAGACACTTGTTTCCTAAGAAGGAATTAATGTACCAGAATATCACTGTTTTCTAAAGTAATGTTCAGGAGAAGCCTAGAAGACCATTGTGTGGATGAAATATCTGGCTTCGTAGACTATAAATCATGCGGTTGAACTGTGTGGCTAGGAACAAGGGTTGGATGCAGATGGTGTTATGGCCAGGGACCCTGGCTTTCTAGATTTCTTCTTTGCCAATTTTCTCTACCCAAGCTGAGTTTTCTGATTTGCTCTGAATCTAATTGTTTGTGGAACCAGAATGCATAAGGCTGCTTATAACACAGGTAGGAAGAGAAAGAGCAACCAAAAAGAAACAACCTCTCTGACTTTCCTTACTCTTCCAGCTGTTCGCAGCCCTCTCAGTGGTTGTGCAGAGGTGGGGGTTCACCTGCTACGTGAGGAAACAAAGCTGGAAATGAAAGTGAGAGCAGAAAGCATGGGCTCATGTGTTTAAAGCACAGCATACTCATAACCCATTTGTATTGACTAGATGAGATATTGAAATGGTGTTGAAGTAGACACTCTCTCAGTCCCTTTATAACTCTGGGATTCATATATCCTCACATCATCTATTAGTTTTTTAACATGGTTTCAGGATTTAGTATTTGTCAACATGGTTAATGTTCTCCTCTATGTATGTCTTATATCCATAAAGATTTCTTTGCCAAATTTATGTCAGCTACAAAATATTTATTGTCTTAATTTCCTGACACTGAAATAATTCTTCCTATATATTATTTGTCCTAACATGCTCATAAGAAGCAGGGTGCTTTGTTTCCTTATAAAGGTCATTTTCATACCACTTTCCTCCAAATGAGGTTCATGAAAACATCTCCTTTATTGTTTCTTTCTCCTCCATTGTCTTCTGGTGTGAGTTTTGTCTATGTTGTAGTAAAATGGCTGCTGCACTGCCAGGCATCTGCTGTAACAGATTCCTATGTTTTTAGCTGTTTACTGCCCGATGTCTGCTAGTGCAACAGCCATCTTGCTACCGTGAAGACAAAAACCACGTAGGGAGGCCAGCAGTGTAGGAAAAACAAGGAGCCTAATCCTTGATGACATCGTGGAGCCAGTGTACTGGCCCTGACAGTTAATCCATGACTTCTTTTTGCATATGACATGTGATTTAACTATCAATGTCTAATTTTTTGAGTTAAAACCCATCCCTATGTGCCCTTCCCTATTCGTTTTTCTCTCCCTTCTATCTAGAGAATATCTAGAGAAATCCTGACTTGAGATAACAATTCCTTTGCTTTATAGCTTTAAAACCTGAATATGTATCTTCAAATAATTTTTACAGTTTAATTTTGTTCCTTTGTTTGAACCTCACAAATTAGAATATTTATTTTTTCTGTGACTTGCATTTTTTCTCAACATTATATTTGCAAGATAGTCATGTGAACAAATGCAGCATTTTATATAAATACAAGATATAGCTGAAATTTATTTTTTAATGGTGTATAGTATTCCATGTAACACTTAGCTTTCATTTATTTGCATTTCTATACACTATTTCCTGTAACCTGTAGCTGCAGCTCATTTGTTTTCTTTGCTGTACAGTGTTGATGTAGTATATAGCTACCCTTCATTTGTTTTTCTTGCTCTACAAGATTCCATGTGTGAGCATTCCAGAATTCTACTTTCAATGGACATTTGGTTTGTTGTCAGTTTGGAGCTATTATGAGTGATGGTGCTAAAGAAATTGTTGTACATGTCCACTGGTGGTTAGTGTGCAAGTGTTTCTCTGGGGAATATACCTACAAGTAGAATTGTTGGGTCACAGGGATATTTCTTATTTTACTAGAAAATGCCAAATTATTTTCCCAAGTGGCTATTTAAACTTCCTCCCCTATTATATGAGAAGTCACATTGTTTCATATTATTTTATTCCTTTACTCTTCCATATTTAATTTTTTACAATGAGCATTTGTTAGTTGCTATCAGAAAAGTGTTTTATCAATTTATGAAAAACATCTATACTCACAGAGAGAATAAATATTATTTTGTCATTTAAGTACATACATAGAATGAGTTTTTAATCCTGTGAAGACGATGTGACTGATCTGGTTGATGGTTAACTATGACTTTAAAATATTTATGAATGTTAGAAAAATAAACAGAAAACAATCTCCTCATTCTCAAGTTAAATGATTGCTTTATGTATCTGATATAATGCTTACATAACCTATAGTTTTTACCAGTAAGTCTGAGATAAATAACTAAGACAAGGAAGATGTGAATTTCATTATCTGATTTGTGGATAGTAAAGATATTTACTCCTTTTTTTTTTTTTTTCTGTAATAAAACTGCTATGTGGCAACTGTGGAGAATTCTTGAATTGTAAGATAAATGGCTGTGATTTTTATAGAGGGTTGGTATTTAAACAGAAGCATGCACTACCTCAAGGCTTGAGAAAATAAAGGTCTTGTTCTCTCTGGAGATCACTGTCTTGTTTTGGAAAATTATCTATTTCTGAAATGTACATTGCTTCTTGGTACTCTGGCCAGATTGCCAGCCCTAGTGAGGTCCTAGGAACATTTACAGCAGCAAAAACAATTTGCTCCAAACAGGCACAACACAATTAGGAAGAACAATGTTTTGCTTTGGAAAATATCTCCTTACCTTGTGAACTAATCCACACAACAAATACATTGATTTAGATGTATTTACTTACGTGAAATAGACATTTCCTTTCTATGTTCTGCTGCTGCATTTGAAGTTTTCTTTTTTTTTTTTTTTAATTTCATGATATTATGGGGGTACAAACATTTTGGTTACATGTTATGACTTTGCCACATCCCAACCATGATTTGATATGTGACCTTCCCTCCCTACAATGCTCACTGTGTTCATTAGTGTTGTTAGTTTACCCACCTCCCAATCCCGCAAGCCTCAAAGAATATTATTACTGCGTGAGCACCTTAGTGTTGATCAGTCAGTGATAGTTTGATGGCGAGTGTATGTGCTGCCTATTCTTCCATTCTTGTGATATCTCACTTTGGAGGATGAGCTCAAGCTCTATCCAGGAAAATATAAGAGGTGTTAGATCACCATCATTTTTTATAATTGAGTAGTATTCCATTGTATACATATACCATATTTTATTAATCCACTCATGGATTGATGGACACTTGGGTTGT